CACACACACACACACGCACACACACAGACAACCCCTCAACAATATGCGGTTTTGCAGTACATAGATGAAAAAAAAAAAAAAAAACACATAATGAAGAAAAATAGCAAAAATTTAGAAACCAATAAAACCAAAACCATCCAGGCAAACAATGTGAGCGTCACTGTCATTGATATTGCTGGGATGCTTCGATTTCCGCACCTCGCGCAAAACTGTGCCACTCTCCTTGATCCTGTGCTAAATCTCCGGTTGGCATTCATTGACCTTTCCGAAGTATAAGCGCCGTTTCTTCGGTGACACCCACCTGGCTGTTTACTTTCGCCTGACATTAATGCGAGACATCCTATTCTCGGCAGGGGGAGCAAGACGAAGATCTTACTTTTCCGGTGATCGCAAAAATTAAGTAATTGTTATCTATAGAGCAGCGGCACACAAACAACTTAACAGTAACGTAGAAGCGAGTGAAGCAATGAACTGAACGCGCAACTGGTTAAGTTATTGTTTGTGAAGTAGCTGTACTCGAACAGTTTTAGTGATATAAATTCAGTTTTGCATGAAATAAGGCGCCAAAGATGCGGAAAACTGACCAAAAACTGGAATAACCCAGACATCAAGAAACAATTGAGAAATTAGCAAATTGAAAAATTTAATAAAAAATATACAACTGACTTTTTGGTCTATGTGGACCTTTTGAGGAGCGTTAAATTTAACCCAATTTGGTGAAGAGACACGGGGATGCGTGACTGGGTTGAATACACTTTTCAGTGTATAACTAATCCTGGAGTTGTAGGACTAAAAACCCAAAGCGGATGAGTTTCAGAAAGAGATGCGATTTTAAGTTCGTTTTTTAGACGTTTTTTGCATCTATTCAATGCAAAAACGCTATTGTCAAAGGGTTGTCTATGGGTGTGCCTGTGTGTTCGTCTGTACCGACTTTTCATCTAGAGATCTACAAAAACTACAACACTGAAATTTTGGGAGTTAAATCTACATGTGTGTACGAGCTCCTGCCCCCAAAATAAGTGAATCTACACACGTGTGCCTGCGTGGTTTCCACGTACGGACAGTGAAAAATTTTTGTCGGGTAATTCGCTAAATAGGAACCAGAAATGCTAGAAAACTGAAATTTTAAGGGGACGTTTTCTCACAGTCGTGGTGGCTAGTTTCATTTTTTTTTAGCTAGAAGCCCTTGCCTGAAAAAACAGAGCCGCTAGGGACAAAAATCTGCGGGGAACTGTACAAAAAATGTAGCTTTGCACCGGCCAATTATATTTTTTCTCTTTTCCTATTCCGTTTCAACACCTGTTCTTCCCTTCTGGTAATTTCTCTTCCGTGCATGTTCCTTTCGTAGCCATATATTTCAGCCTTCCCAATCTTTCTTTCATTGTGTGGCGCCCGGCTATTTCTTAGCCATTTTTTGCTTTTCCTTGTTTCGCCTCTCTAACGCCTTCTAAATTTATAGCGCAACCACTGTGCTAACGAGGTTCAGTTGCAGTGCTGAGCTAAGATGTTCAAGGCTTCCTGAGCTTTAAATGTTTCATTTTCTCGTCTCCTTGGTCCTCTTTAGAATCTTTGTCGTTCCTTTCTTGGCCGTTTTCTGATTCAGCCATAGCGCTCTTAGCACGTACTGACCAGCTCACAGCAAGGTTTTTCCCCAAAAACAAATAAGAAAAATGATTATATCATAAAAAGTTGCGCGAGAAAGAAGTACGCAAAGTTCATGCAGCATATCGCTCAGTTCGTATTCGACGCTTTCGTGTACAATTGTCATTGCTCGTTCGCATTCCTGGTGTTCTACACGACGTCGTTTTTCGATACAGTGACACGTTTCACGACATTCTTTAGCTCGTTCCTGCAAGATTCAAGTCGCATATAATGGTTCTGTGAATAACCAGTTAAAATGATTCGTCCTGTGATCCTCGGGATATGATTTATTGCGTGACCATCAATCAGTAGTATGTGCGATATCCGCAAATTACTGCGACGTGATAGATTTTAAGTTATATATTAAGCTAACAGCTAAGAAGTGTTAAGATGGCTTTTCAGAACAGAGGCCCAAAATACAAAAAAGATCGTTTTTTGGATTAGATGTGAAGCGTTTTGTTGTAGGCATGTATGTTTGAATTTAAAGATTGACAAACTGTCCTCTCATTCATTGCTCAGCTATTTCAGCTGCTCTCATTTAATGCTCAACTACAGGCAACATTTTTTCCATTTCATCAGGATCTGCTTTGCCCATAACTCTCAAAGTCAAAATTTTTGATGTCCTGACAACGCAAGCAATGTAATCTGCTTGCAGTTATACCTGATATGCTAAAGCGAACACGAAGCGCTCATTGACTGTCAGATGCTTCTTTTCTCGGATCACTTCTGCCATCACGGTCGTTGCTTCTTCGAGACGTCCCATCTGCAAACACCGAATAGTTAGCTCAAATAAGCAGTATTAGCATGTGAATAGTTGCAAAGGTAATTCTTTGAGAAGTATTTCTTCCTGCACCAGCCTCTTCCCCACTGACAACTTCAACCGCATTAGTTCTAGCTAGCAGGATTTTTTACGAATTCGTTCATTAAATTTTGAACGGGGATCAGGTGTATGTGAAATTTCGGATTGTCAATCAATAATTTTTGCTCTAAACGCTTTAATCAAAAACACCTGAAATAGGACTTAGGAACGCAGCATTTTTCAGATGCATCGATAGCATGAAGGAACACGACGATGAAACAGCAGCTGACTGCTAATGTATGCAGTAACTCACGTTAGTAAAACTTGTACATAGCAACCAAAGTGCCCGCAAAAAACTGCCAGGGGTGCTAGTATTCAGAAAGCTTTTCAAGGAATTTCAATCTTCTCGTGACCTCCGCCACCCGAACAATTCACTCTATGTCACCTGTTATTCCGATATATTGCAAGGAATTGATTATTGAGCAGATGAAGAACAAGAAATTAGCTGTTCGAAGAAAAAATATTAAAGTTAAACCTTCAGTGCAAGTGCGGCCCATTGCGCTTTGGTACTAAGATCAGTCTCGAGAAGTCTCATTAATTGCTGCGGGGAATTAAACTTTCCAATTGCACCATCTTCCATTCTTGCAATGTCTGTCAAAAGAAGCAAAATCAGTAGTGCTCTGGAACAATGTACGAACACATGTTCACGCTTAGTCGGCAGCCAGCACATCCACTCAGTCCCGGTTTGACAAACAAATTAAAATGATTCTACATAAGGATGAAACATTAAGTAAGGTATTTAAGGATTTACATGGAGAATAAAAAGGACCAAGTCAGTTTGCGATCCGCATTTCGTCTTTTAGCTGTAAATACAGAGAATGCATTAGAAACTAGTGGGAGTGGGTACAACCCTGCCCCCTCTTCCCGCCATATAACAACGGGACATATCCAATCGAAAAATTTCCGAACTGTATCTGGTGACAGAAACTGAATAATTTATTGCAAAAATGTGCGAAAGCCTGCTTTATATTGTAGTAACAAATCAAGGAATACTGAACAGTGAGTGGCTGGTGTCTGCAGACTGCAGTATGTTTTCACTGAGCTAATACCGCAGTGGCAAGCATAAGTGGAGTTTAGTGAATGTATCGAGCATGGAGAAATCGCCAGGAGAAAGTATAGATGGAGAAATTGCCAGCTGCAACAGTAGCGCGAAGGAACAAGATAATGCAAAAACACCTGAACAAAGTATCGAAGCAAAGCAAATCCGTTGGAAATACTGACTTTTATTACTTACATTGACAGAGCGAAGTACCAGTATGAAGCGCTTAGTCGCAACTGGAAGTGAAAGCCGCCCAACGTAGCTGTGCCAAGAACTTTTGCCTCTGCATGCGCTATATTCTGTTCCGGCTGGTGTACATAATATCTTCCCCATTACAATCAGAATATTCACTCTCTTTACTACGAAAATCACAAAATGATACCAGTCTCTTACACTGCGATGATATATTGATCTCCGACAACGGGGATTGAGAATGTACCGCATGGGAATGGAAGACGAAATTGACCATCGTAGAT